TTTTCAATTTGGTAACGATTGTCTGAAGAAGAAAGTTTAAGTCACCCAAGGAACTTCGGCCATCAGATTTCCAGTAACTTCCTTCCCCGTCATGTGTCCGAGAGAAGAATTCCCTCCTTCGGCCAAGGATGAGGTTCCATTTCTAAAGTTCTTAAAGCAAAAGCAGATGGCTCAGTGTAGAAATATGTCCAGCATCTGGATTCTCAGTCACCAAAATAGCATCCTTTATACAACACAAAATGGATTCCCTGGTGAAGGAATTCTCTTAGCCTTAGGATCCGGCATCCTCGCCAACGCTTTCATCTTCATCATCATCATCCTCCTCATCTTCGTCTTCCCCCACTTCCCCATCTCGCTTCTCTTTTTCGAGCATTTTTAGATATTTGCTAGCTAGGATCTTCTTTGGCAAGATATCTGAAATGTAGAATTGCTTCTTGTATGAAAAGCTGGAATACTTAAATCATCTCATTAATACTGTTTTATCCATTATCACTACTGAAACACAGTCCAAAAGAAGCAATTAGAAATTATGATTTTAGAGAGTAACTAGAACCCTACCTTATAAACCAACTGCAAGAAAAGGAGGGAATTGCCCACTTAAGGTAGAAGTAGCTAAAGCCAAAGAAAATATTTTATAAAAGCCATTACAAACAACTGTCTTGGCTACATTTTTGGATTTGATGTAAAACATTAAAAGCATCTAAACGTAGAACTCAATTACTTAGCTTCCTTGCACAGATTTAATGGGCTAACTCTCCAATTTATGTTCTGTGGAAACTGCTTCCCTGTACTCAGGTGAGCCTGTTCTGGGGAACAGTGCTCGCTCTGAAAATAACCCCGTCTCACAAACAAATAAATGTTTCTAGTGATAATTTGAGCTACAACGTTTTCCAGGAGATTAACAACGGGTAGCAGGGCCGTGTCCGCGCTATGCTATGGCATCGCCCCTTCACTCTCCCAGCGGCACTCGGGACTGCCCCTCCGTCGGGGATACCTGCGAGGAACTGGAAGGTCTCGCACTCCTCGGCCGTGTGGGACAGGTCGCTGTAGGTGAGCGCGCCTTTCTCCTTGCCTCGGCCGTGCTTGTAGGAGTAGGTGGCCAGGTACTGCACGAAGAGCTCCTGGAAAGCAAAAGAGCCGCGCGGTGAGGCCCGATACGGGGCTGGCCCTGGGGGCGGGCGCCGGG